TGCTGTGTGTGTTTAGGGGTTTAATTAAAAAAAAAATCATTTTTATGTTTAAAAACTGTTATTTTATTATCATTAATACACTACCATATAGGTTTTGTTAATATTTTAAATCAGATTTTATTTTTACATTTTCTGTTTTGATTTAAATTTTAGTATAAAACATTTTTTTAATGTGTCTGTTTTTATTAAGTTTGTAGTTTAATTTATTTAGTTGTAATTATTGTAGTACTTCAACTTTAATCAGAAGAAAAATCTAAATCTTGCCTTGTCAACTAATTGAAATAAACTAAATATTTTATTTCAGTCCTATTAGAAGTGATGAAAAGGTTTTTTTTATGGCTTAATTTTAGTTCATTATTATAACAATAGTATACATGCTTACAAATGTTAAATTATGAAATAAATACAATTATTGTTTTACATTATATATAAATAAATATCTAGTTCAGTCATGAAACTTCAGAGGGCACAGGCTGATGTTCCTTTACATGAAATCTGCAATCAATCACATCATTACCGCATGGCCCAATCTGATTGGCCTCCACTGATCCTGCAGCCAATGAGATTGCTTGCTCAGCATTTAGATAGTTTGTTGTAGTAAGCTGGTCCTCTGAAACCCTCCACATTCCCCAGCTCCACCCGCCTATATATATATATATATATATATATATATATATAAATGCAGTGTGTCTGTGTATCTATTAGCAGTAGTAAGTCCATACTTGCTCTGCAGCAGCATTTTATCTTTATATTGTAGCTATTTTTTTTTTCATCTGAATGATCTGAATGCAATTAAATCTTTTTAGACAATTTAGTTCATTCCCACCTTCCCATTTTCTTTCTGGAAATGAGCCTGCTTCACTAAAGTGAAACAGAATGTGAGTGTCATTTCAGGTTAAACCTCCAATATAACTTAAACACAGAAACCTCTCTTTGTATATATCTGAGATGTGCAAGTGTTTTTTCAGCTAAGCCTGATTCCTGAAGCGCTGAGACAACAGGAGCTCAGGGCTTTAGAAACCTTTTAGAGAAACACTCTGCGATCGATCATAGATGCTGCTGTCCCTTTTCCATAATATTAAGGACAAAGCTACTTTCTGGATGCTGGTTTGAATTCTAAACACACGCTTTGTGTCAGTATAAACGTTCTCCCGCTGTCCGCCCCTCAGTTTGGCCCTCAGTAATGAGCCGAGGTCACTTCTCATTTCAGTGGCCATGTCAATGTCTTCTGACACATGTATTGAGCCCTGCCCTAAATACTCAAATAGGCTAGTCATGCTACTCTGAAGCTAACTGGCTGTTTTAGAAACACCAAACTCAGGTTTCATGATTCAACCGGACGTTTGAGAAAACTCTTGCTGATAATTTACTCACCCCCATGTCATCCAAGATGTCCATGTCTTTCTTTCTTCAGTCGAAAAGAAATGAAGGTTTTTGATGAAAACATTCCAGCATTTTTCTCCATATAATGGACTTCAATGGGAACCAAACCGTTCAAGGTCCAAAAGACACTTTCAGTGCAAACTGCAAACTGTTCAAAGGGTTTTAAACGATTCCATATGATGAATAAGGGTCTTATCAAGCCAAACGATCGCTCATTTAAAAAAAAGTTTAAGCTTTAAAAGCTCAAATGCTCGCCTTGCTCTGTTCTGTGACGCACGTTCGTGACTCTCCTCTTCGAACTTGTTCATCAAAATGAACAAATCTTTTTCCGAGTCAATTCGTTCGTTTTGTTCGTTGAATGAACCAAATGACTCGGAAAAAGATTTGTTAATTTTGATGAATGAGTTCGAACAGGAGAGTCGCAAACGTGCAATGCAGTACAGAGAAAGGCGAGCATTTGAGCTTATAAAACTTAAACTTTGTTATTTTTATTTTTTTTTTATGAACGATCATTTCGCTTGATAAGACCCTTATTCATCGTCTGGAATTGTTTAAAGCCCTTTTAACAGTTTGCAGTTTGCAGTTTGCACTGAAATTGTCTTTTGGACCTTGAACCATTTGGTTCCCATTGAAGTCCATTATATGGAGAAAAATCCTGGAATGTTTTCATCAAAAACCTTAATTTCTTTTCGACTGAAGAAAGAAAGACATGGATATCTTGGATGACACGGGGGTGAGTAAATTATCAGCAAAAGTTTTTTTTTATTTTTTTTTTTTTTTATTTTTAAGTGAACTACTCCTTTAACAAAAACAACCTTTGATTTTACAAATAATATTTAGTAATGAATATTTAGTAAATATGGAAATTAATATTAACCAGAAATATAGTTAATTCTTTGTGTTAACTAAGGTAGTAAACTAATGTTAAAAGATGAAAGTATTACCATGTCTATATTTCATTATTAGAGAAGTAACATCTGCGACTGTTGATACTTCAGTGACGCATAACTCCATCAACTCTTCTGAGCTGTGAAAGAACAACCTGTGAGCATTCAAATGGTTCTCTGGGTATAAAGATTGTCTTTATCTGTTCCCGTGGCGGTCTAGAAATTCCCCATCTTCAGTTGGTCTGTCCTGATTATGAGCGAGACACAGTTTGGGTTCACTGAGCTCCACCTGTCTGATGGCTCCATCCATCTGGCATCCATCTTTGGCCACATTCAGCATTTTCTCTTGCTCTGCTGCCCAATGTCCCGAGCAGGTGTTGTTCTCGCCTGCTCCTCACGGCGCGGTGTCCCACGTTAGGTGATTTTATCATGATTTACGACAGACAGGTACCGTTTATGAAGCCGTCTTATCTGATTTACCGTGGAGGATCCACATCTGAGACGCCGCACGGCACTATGGGTGGCCTCACCAGTGCGGATAATAAGAGAGGGAATATGACTAGGATTTCCAGGCTTATTTGTGTCAGTATTTATGGGTCTGCTGTAGGTAAATGGACTCTTTTCTGACGGGCTCAGAGTATTGATGTTGTTAGCAGGAACCGCCTGTTAGACAGTCTGCTAGCACACAGGTTGTTAACTGCAAACCCTACAGAGTAAAAGAAAACAAAACAAAACAAAAATCGAAATTTTAAATAAAACATTATTATAAGAGTATGTTTTACAAGAATCTACTTCAAAATTTCTTTTGATTCAGTGTTACACTGCCATTGTTTTGTAATAGTTTGTGTGATTTACTAGCTATTTCTGAGTGAAAATTGTTTCAATGGAAATACGCACAATATGAGGATAGTTAATTCAAGTTAATTAACTTCTCTGAGCACAAAAGATATTTTGAAGTCTGTGCATGTTGACTTTTCTTTACAATGAAAATATATGGCGACACCAAAATATAGTCAAGTCAGGTCATCTTCATTTATATAGCGCTTTTAACAATGTAGATTCTTCCAAAACTGCTTTACAGTGATAATAGGAAATTACAACCCGGTCTCATCCCAAGACGTCATATAACTGACGTTTTGGGACGTCTTTTGACCATACGTCAATATTCGCCTTTTTAGGGCCCCCTTAAACGTCGGTAGACGAGGTTATAGGATCCTAACTCTACCCCAGACCTAAACCTAACCCTAAACCTAACCCGTCACCTAACTGACGTTAAAGGTAAAGCATCAGTTGTATGACGGCCCGGGATCGCCATCTACCGACGTTTAAGGGGGCCCTAAAAAGGCGGATATTGATGTATGGTCAAAATACGCCCCAAGACGTCAGTTATATGACTTTTTGGGATGAGACTGTGTTAGAAATTAAAGAAACTTGTTTGTTTTGGCTTTATGACTGCTATAGAATAAAGTTATTTTCCGGCTAAAGTTAGTTTTAATTGATTGATTAACTTAGGGCCGCTAACACGACACCGTTCTAACAGAAAACTCTTAAGTTCTCTCTGCGCAAACTTTAAAAACGCGAACCTGTGAGAACGCAGAATTTTTTTCTTTATTTTTTTACAGACAAGTCATTAAGGACAAGTTCTTATTTACAATGGCGGCCTGACATGTGGAATAACCACTTAGGGAAAGGAAATGGGGCTAAAATAAATACAGGCGTTAATGATGGCGTGCACATGCGCATTAAGAGTAACGTATGTGCGTTTGAATATATGTCCGCAGGCATGTAGTGCTTCCCCAAAAAACCCAACCGTCAACAAACTACTTGTCTGGCTTAAAATTTATAAAACAGAATTGTCTCGGTTCAGCGTAGCCACGTGGACCGGGATTATCCCGACAACGATTATCTGTACAGAGGTAAAGGGAAGGAGGCCTGCACAGCACAGGGAGGGACTAGTGATACTTCAGGGCTGCGTTGTCGTCATGTACAGGCTCAGGTCCTTCATCAGATCTGGATACGGCCTGGATCCGGCAGACTGCGTTTAACCTCAGGATAAACAGAGAGACCACTATTAGCATAGATGCCATAGTCTGACGAGTCAAATAGTCTGAAGAGACTCTTATGCTGCTTGTTTAGTGTTTTTTGTGGAGATTGACTGCCTTCATTCCCATTGGTTTTGCTTCAAAGTTATGCTAAACATCTACATTTGTCTTTCATGGACGAGAGAAAGTTCTGTATAACAATGGTGATAACATTTTCATTTTTGTGCAACTGATTGTATGTGAAGGCTTAGGTGGGATATTGAAATGGTCAAAGAGAATTTCACAAATGATAAGATCAAGATTATAAACGAATCTAATCAAGTGGTTGTTAGACTGCAAGCAGGTTTTTAACAGGATTATTTCAGTGGAACGGCTTTATCCTCATTAAGATGTGTTGATAAAACATGAAGGAAAGGTTTTATACTATATTATACATTTTATTTATATGAAATATGTATATATATTCAAATGATTCCTCCAATCTTTGTGTGTTATTAGAGTTTTACATTGAACACTAGCCTATTAACATGCTAGCTAACATCACACTATTGAAATGACTTGTAAATCTGTGCACTTCACATGAGTGTCTATATATAGAGCGTTTTCGAATCAGGCACTTGTAAGGGTTCTATTTCAATTTGCATGCTTCCTAGGAAGGCAGCTGTTGTTTTCTCCCAATCGGACCATAATGCAGTGCATGCCATGTGAAGCCCTCAGCTCACCCAGCTCTTCCTCTGTCTCGTGTCCTGCAGGTGCTGGAGGCTGGTCTCCTCTGGACTCCAATAAGTATCAGTGGCTGGAGATCAAGCTGGAGCAGCGGACGGAGATTACAGCCATGGCCACTCAGGGCCGATACGGGAGCTCAGATTGGGTCACACGCTACCTCCTCATGTTCAGTGACACGGGCCACAACTGGAGACCGTATCGACAGGAAGATAGTATTAGGGTAAGAGTTTAATTCCTCGGTGTTGTGCAGCTTCACCTGAGATGAAGGAAGAACATGCCCAGATAAGATAAAAACTTACACAACGATGGATTTTAGTAAGTGCAGGGCTTAATGCTTTTTTTTTTTTAATTTGGAAAATTTAGGAGCACAACAAGAACTTTACGGGCGCAAGTATTTTCCTTGAAGGAGTAGTTCACTTTTACCTTGACATCCAAGATGTCCATGTCTTTTTTTCTTCAGTCGAAAAGAAATGAAGGTTTTTGATGAAAACATTCCAGGATTTTTCTCCATATAATGGACTTTAATGGGAACCAAACGGTTCAAGGTCCAAAAGACACTTTCAGTGCAAACTGCAAACTGTTCAAAGGGCTTTAAACGATTCCAGACGATGAATAAGGATCTTATCAAGCGAAACGATCGCTCATTAAAAAATAAAACAAAGTTTAAGTTTTATAAGCTCAAATGGTCACCTTGCTCTGTTCTGTGATGCGCGTTCGTGACTCTCCTGTTTGAACTCGTTCATCAAAATGAATGAATCTTTTCCCCTGTCAGCTCGTTCATTTTGTTCTTTGAATGAACCAAATGACTCGTAAAAAAGATTCGTTTTGATGAATAGGTTCGAACAGGAGATTCACGAACGTGCATCACAGAACAGAGAGAGGCGAGCAGTCGAGCTTATAAAACGTAAACTTTGTTATTTATTTATTAAAGGTTCTCTAAGCGATCCTGGGTGTTGACGTTCGGAATATTTTCAAACAAATCGGAGGCTAGCTAGACCCTCCCTCCGCCGCATCTCATCTCCTCCCCCTCCCTTCCGTGCTTCCTGAAATAATTGTGAACGTGCATTTCTAGCTAATTATATCCTTGTGTGGGTTTGGCGAACATAAGCGTCAATTTAAAAGAAAAATACAATTTAACGTTACCCACCTGTCCAGCAAAAACAGAGCAACCTGAATGTCGGACTGGAAGCCCTTCTGCCGCGGGAGTTCTCGCCATCGTTCAAAAGCTTTGCTACCGATGTAAATTCGGAACTTCGCACGATCTTTATCCGACTCCTCCTTCTTTTTAATTTGTTCCTCAGAACGATGTCTCTTTGGTCGTGTTTCGGCCATTTTTCAAACTTCCCTCTTATGCTTCTCTCTCCTTCACACACACACCCCCTTCATGTGCACGCGCACTAACCCCCCAGACCCACCCTCAAATACTTCTTGCCAGTGATTGGCTGGAACACTGTTTGTTAGGTTTCGTGGTCCGGGTGAGACATGATTGTTTTTGTTGTCGTTTTTGGAGCCTGTGGTGTCTACAGAGACCGCGTTGTTTTACAGTGTGTTTAGGGGACAGGCAGCTAGCCGATAGTGAGGAGACATTTGATGTATGTGACAAAAAATGTTTTGGCCCAGCATCGCTTAGAGAACCTTTAAATGAGCGATCGTTTCGCTTGATAAGACCCTTATTCATCGTCTGGAATCGTTTAAAGCCCTTTGAACAGTTTGCAGTTTGCAGTTTGTACTGAAAGTGTCTTTTGGACCTTGAACCGTTTGGTTCCCATTGAAGTCCATTATATGGAAAAAAATGCTGGAATGTTTTTATCAAAAACCTTCATTTCTTTTTGACTGAAGAAAGAAAAACATGGACATCTTGGATGACATGGGGGTGAGTAAATTATCAGCAAAAGTTTTTTTAAAAGTGAACTACTCCTTTAATAAAGCAAAGCAAAATGACTTCATTTATTGTAGGATTTTAAATATTTATGTTTTAAACTGTATTTATTTAATAATTAAAATCTATTTATATTCTAAACATTGAATCAAAATGTCAGAAATACCAATAATTACCAGAAACAATATGTTTTGCATAAATGCTGGATTTTTGAATATAAACAATCAGGAAATACACCAGAGGCCTCATTTATAAACGTTGCGTACGCATAAAAGACGCCGCTCTCTACGCAATAATTGGTATTTATAAAAGCAAACTTGGCGGGAAAATGTGCGGTCCTTCACGCAAACTCTGACCCAGGCGTACGCACAAAAACGGGTGAAATGGGAAATGGCGACACCATTGGTAGGTGAAATAAACACGTGAAAGTGTGTGAAACTGTAGACCGTTGTGTAAAAGAAATGGCATTACTGTCTCTCATAAATTCAATTCAAATTTATTTGTATAGCGCTTTTCACAATACATATTGTTCGCAATACATAAGTGCATTTCAGAAATGTACATAGAAAAAAATACAGTTAGTTAATCATGAATTAATTTAGGGCATAACATATCGCCATGCGTGTGTACGTGCATCAGTTTGCTTGTCAATGAACCGTCAATTTGTTCGCCTTCCTTGCCCGTGTCTGCAAATTTGGGTCAAATATGGACAAACCCAAATGTTGGGTTAAAAATGTCATAAAAAAAATTTTAAATTATATTTTTTAACCCATCATTTGGTTTTGTCCATATTCCAACAAGCAGATGCGATGAGACCCGTTTTTCCGTTTGTTCACGTGTCGTTCGGTATAAAGCCTGTTGAGAACCGTTAGTCACGAATCCGTCTGTCGTCAGAAGCACTTAGAGTTTAAGACGTGAGCTTCTTTTCCCCCTCTTCGTGTCGCTCCTACCAGAGGAGGATTTGCACCTTGACTCTTGATATATTTCACAGGCCACTTTAGAGCAAATGAGATGCGCCTCCTCGGCAGGAAACAGAGCAATTTGTTGAGCTTAACGCTTCACTTCACCAGACTACTGATCCCCTCAAACGCACTGAGAACGCTACTCAGCTCCCAATTACTCGGAGCTCAGAAAGACCAAATTGCACACATCTCTGACAGATATAAGGACAAAATGAACATCCCTCCCTGCAAAATAATCCACAATAACTCTACTTTGCCTCTTAAAATGGCTAGCAGGACCTTAGCTGGAAAATACCCTGATTTTAAAAACCACCCGAGGTGGTTTGCTGGTTTAAGCTGGTCTGACTGGTTTCCCAACTTTGCCAAGCTTGCGTTTAGCTGGTTTTGTCGATGTTCAGCTTGTCTAAGCCTTACGGATTATATATTCTTTATTTAACAATATAAATATATTTTATCATTTTATTTTTAATAATTACAGAATATATTTGATTTGTATAGTTTATTTACATGCATTTCTTATTATTAGTTATTATTAGGGATGCACGATATCGGTATCGGCCGATATATGTTCATTTTTAATGTTATCGTTATCGGCCTGGTAATAAAATGTGGCCGATATATTAAAGCCGATAAATAATGTATTATTCCCTTCAGCTGAGACACTTGTTGAGCACTGTTTATGTTTTTGAATTTCTTGAAATATGATTGAAATCTCTTCAAAAAATGAAAATACGGTTCAGTACAACATGTGCAGCGCAAATCTGTCATATCGGCTATACAACACTATGATGAGAACATCATTATAATTGTGCGCTTGGGACATGGATTTAATTGTGAGACTTTTGATTTTGTAATCAGGCTCTCAAAATTAGATACAAATTTGGATTTAAATTTATCGGCCGATATATCGGTTATCGGCTTTCAAATATAAAGAATTATCGGTATCGGCCAAAATTTTCATATCGGTGCATGCATAGTTATTATTATAGAATATAAATGTGCGTATATGCATGCATGCTTCAGGTAAGCCCTACGTTATGAGGAAAAAATGTCTTCACAAAGATGACAATATCCAAAATCTGTGACTTTGTTGGGACATTTTTTGGTCCCCATGAGGAAAACCGCCTAGAAATAAGACTAAATTTAGTTTTTTGAAAATGCAGAAAGTTTTCTGTGATGGGTAGGTTTAGGGTTAGGGGATACAATATACAATTTGTACAGTGTAAAAATTATTATGTCTATGGAAAGTCCCCATAAAACATGAAAACACAATGCATATCCTTTGTAATAATGCATCTAATGTAAAAGAACCTCATAAGTTTAACCAGTTATGAGATCAGCATTTTTGATCAGGTTATTGCTAGTATGTGGATGTTACTGGACAAAAGTGCCTGTATTGATCTCCTTTAATACAGAGCCTGAGTGGATATCTGCGCATTGACCCATGGCGATGTTGAATCGCTCCGGTCGCCACAGGGTCTTGCCTCGTGTTAAATAACTTAAGTTATAGACGGGTCTCGTCTCAGGATCTCTATGATCCAATGGGAAAGACTGCATTAAGTCAAGTCAATGTCAAACCACAAATATCATGAAAGGTCACGAAACGCTGTTGTTCTTTTTATTTTAGGCTTTTTCTGGGAACTCCAACGCCGACAGTGTGGTGATGTACAAGCTCCAGCATCCCGTCATCGCTCAGTATCTCAGAATCCTGCCTCTGGACTGGAACCCCAACGGGAGGGTGGGACTGAGGCTGGAGGCGTACGGATGCCAGTACAGTACGTATTCAATTTACAGATCATTTAACATCTTTCATGTTATGACAAAAAAATTATAATTTATTTATTCCTTCATTTAATGATTTAAAATACTCATTAAAATATTTTATGTTACGACATGTATTTAACATTGTATTGGTAAATAAGTATTATTTATAAGTATTATTTCAAAATCTTCCATGTTATAAAATTTCTATATGTATAGCCCCTTGAGATGCACCATCTCATTTTCAAGGGGGTCCTTTTAATCACTCATAACAACCCACACATGCTCAAAATAAGACAACACACTTTAACACTCGTCTGATTTCAAAGACTAAATGAAAGAAAACACAAAAACACAGAAAAACAAGAAAAAACAAACTCAACTAGACATTATTCACAGCGAAACCTTCTTCTTTCTTTAAGTTGGAGCCAGTCCAATTTTTCATAGAGCGTGCAGTGATGTCTCATGAATGGATACCTTAAGACAAATCTACATATGGAATTAAATAAAAAATCTAGAGATTCATGAGAAGAAACACTTGATGTGTGTAAACCATATTTGCATAATTAATTAGCGGTAATAGTTGCTGCGCAATACGCTTTCTTGTACCAGTTGTGAAGCAATCAATTGAACAGTGCAACTGACACAAACATTGTTTAACTTTCTTAACTGTAGCTTCAATATGATCATTGAATAATAGCACAGTATCTAGCCACAGACCCAGCTACATTTACTAGAGATCTTCCATCAATCATACAGATTTGTAATTCATTCATATTAACATTAGATGGTCTCAGTTTAAACATCCATCCATCTTCTTCCGCTTAACCCGGGGCCGGGTCGCGGGGGCAGCAGTCTAAGCAGAGATACTTCCCTCTCCCTAGACACTTCCTCTAGCTCTTCTGGGGGGATACCGAGGCGTTCCCAGCCCAGCCGGGAGACATAGTCCCTGCAGTGTGTCCTAGGTCTGCCCTGGGGTCTCCTCCCAGTGGGACGAGCCCGGAACACCTCCCTGGGAAGGCGTCCTGGAGGAATCCGCAACAGATGCCCGTGCCACCTCAGCTGACACTCAGCTGGCGTAGTTTCCATCGTCATCACCGGCGGCCATCTTGTCACAGACAGGCTTTCTGGCGGGCTCTGTGGTATCTGATGTAAAAAATACTCTTATCTCGTTGAAATCTTTTTTTAAACGGTTTGGTTTCTTACAAGCGTTATTACGTGGCTATAATTCTGGATGATTATTTATTTATACACTTATTATTCATAAGTATGCAGTGTCATAACTACATCTCTTCCGTTTATAACAAACCAGACTGTTTGAAAATCGGTAGAAAATTGAGCAAGTTACGGTGATTTAAAAAGTACATGCACCATTAAAACAATGTTACCAATAAGCGAGCTGCCTGTGACAAGATGGCCGCCAGGTGCTGACGTCGACCTCCATTGGCCAACAGCGATCCGCACCGATCCGTCTGTCAGTCTCCCGTTCCATCTTCCCTCACTCGTGAACAAAACCCTAAAGATACTTAAACTCCTAGTATAAATGTGTAGACTGATATTTTTCTAAAGTCTGGACTTTAATGTCTGGAAGGGAGTATGAATATATAAACAGACATTTCAGTATTAAAGGAGTAGTTCACTTTTAAAAACACTTTTGCTGATAATTTACTCACCCCCATGTCATCCAGGATGTCCATGTCTTTCTTTCTTCAGTCGAAAAGAAATGAAGGTTTTTGATGAAAACATTCCAGGATTTTCTTCATATAATGTACTTCAATGGGGTCCAAACGGTTCAAGGTCCAAATGAGAGTTTCAGTGCAGCTTCAAAGGGCTTTAAACGACACCAGACGATGAATAAGGGTCTTATCTAGCGAAACGATCGGTCTTTTCAAAAATAAATAAAAAAGTTTAAGTTTTATAAACACAAATGCTCGCCTTGCTCTGTTCTATGATGAGTGTTCGTGACTCTCCTTTTCAAACTCCTAAACAAATCTTTTATTCATCGTCTGGTGTCGTTGAAAGCCCTTTGAAGCTGCACTGAAACTCTCATTTTGGACCTTGAACCGTTTGGACCCCATTGAAGTCCATTATATGGAGAAAAATCCTGGAATGTTTTCATCAAAAACCTTCATTTCTTTTCAACTGAAGAAAGAAAGACGTGGACACCTTGAATGACATGGGGGTGAGTAAATTATCAGCAAAAGTTGTGAACTACTCCTTTAAGCATTTTCTGAGAATTTATATTTCAAGTTTTGACTGCAAATGTCACATCCATAACGCTGCAATTGCCCAATTTTAAAGAATTTATCTTCAACTAGTTTTTTTGGTATTTTATTATGATAACTTCAAATAATACTAATAGTAGGGGTGTAACGGTACACAAAAATCACGGTTCGGTACGTACCTCGGTTTTAAAGTCACGGTTCGGTACGTTTTCGATACAGCAAAAAGAAAGAAATGCCAGAGAAATGTCCTATTTGTTTAAAGAAAAAATATTTTTAAATAAGTGTGAGTTTTCCTAGATCTTGAAACTTTCAGGTTTATAAATAGGGGTCATTTTTGAAGGATGAACAAATAATGTTTTGGTCATCACATTAAAAATAACATTTAAATATATATTTATTTATATAATATTAGAATTTTGAAGTGCTGGAAAAAAGATGTGTGAAGTACTTGAAAGCATTTCACCATTCCAGCCAAACTGGTTCCAGTTAGTGTTACTATATTAAATCCATGGTGAATGTTGCTGGTCTGTGGACGAAAAGTATTACTAGTTCATTCACGGCACAATGTTTCTCCTGGTTTCCATGACGGCGCTGTTTGATCTAATAGAGATCTACGGTTAATAACGGAGAAATGTGAATGCATCTCACTAGATCTCGCAGCGATGTTATTACCTCAGTGGCGAATTCAAACGTTTTCTTTACCGGATCTCTTAGCGCGGTGTGGTAACAGTGTTGCTTGATCGAGATCGGCTCGCGCTGCACAGATGTTGCTGGTCCGAACTGATAAACGATCCGTGAAGCACATAACGAAGAGCGCAGTTTCATTCTGCTTTCATCACGCTTGCCATTTGATGTTGCGCAACGTTGTGTTGGCCGCGTCAGTACGAATTTTGCCGGCAAGAAAAATGGTCCAAGCAATCGTTCGGTTTGTATGCGTACCGAACCGGAAGCCTCGAACCGAAACGGTTCAATACGAATACATGTACCGTTACACCCCTAACTAATAGTAATTTAAAGATGTGGTAGCCCTACATCTAACCAAAGCATTCTCATCCCAAGGCGTCATATACAACACTTTTGACAAAATGTAGACATCCAACGCACATGGCACCCTTTAGCGTCAAATGAGTTGCTTCGGTTATGGTAGGTTTAGGTATGGGGTAGGGTTAGGGTTAGACCACTAGGAGGCGCCTTCTGCCTCAAATATTTCTGCATCTCATTTGACACTAAATTGTGCCATGTGCGTTGGATGTCTACACTTTAACAAAAGCGTCGTATATGACGCCTTGGGATGAGCACGGGCTCGTCTAACACATCACACTCTATTGTTAAGCCCCGTTCCCACTACACGCGACCAAGCGACGCGATACCATTCATTATCAATGGTGAGCGGGCGACTTCTGGCGACACGCGCAACAGCGACCGGTGGGGCGTGTCCAGCGACGCGACAAAGTTGAGAAATGTTTACCTTTATGCAAATGAATGGCGTTTTTCGCGAGTGACAACCAATAGGAGTGAAGTCAGTGGAGCGCGTCACTCTTCAGTGCTGAGTCTGACCGAGGCAAGTTGAACGAGAAGCTCATTTTAGCAGTCAGAAACTGTCCTATAATGGATGATATATCTCCGCGTACATACCAGATAGACCGGTATTTGCCCGTTTGCTGCAGTTAAATTGCCGCGATGGCAAAGAGCACTCACTGTTTCACGTTCATCTTTAATATTATGCATTTTATACTGATTCCATTTATATTTAGACTTTTCCTTACAAAATATTTGTTTGTAGCGGCAATAAAATGTATTTGTTGTCTAACATAGAGTAACTTCCGTGAATGTCACTCACAAACAGTACTAGGCAACCAGTAGTGGGGAACGCCCTCCAGCGCAGCCACAGGCGACCTGCAGCGATAAAGTCGTGTGTAGTGTGAACGGGGCTTTATGGTGGCAATTTCAGTAGATTTACTCACTAACATTGTTGTGGAAACACAATAAGAATGGAAACTAACATATGGTAGTATCGTGTTACAGCGCACATTATATCAGCTGCAGTTCTGCCGCCTCAACTCGACTTACATTCACATCACATTTTAATGCAGCAAGAGTTACTGTACACTCACAGGACACCGCACTTATTCACAATCACAAAAGTTCATTATTTGCTCGTGCTTTAAAGCTTTGCCGGGTAAACATTTCATTGGCGTTCTAATGCACTTTTTCTGAGCGTTTACTGACTGTCAAACAGCACCAAACTGTATTTTTGTTGGACCCTTCTGATAGCGATGGGGGGTCGAGACCGAGAGAGCTACATGGAAAAAATATGCACCAAACAAGCCACTTTGACATTTTGCTGTTTTCATGATTCCAAAAGTTGGGTGACCCTCCCCCTAGACGAAAAAAAGTTGGATGACCCTCCCCTCAACAAAGAATAAAAAGACATGACCCTCCCCTATTTTCCTCCGGTGGGCCTTTCCATAAACACCGAACGGTCCCTAACTCATATGTTGTCGTGTGTTATGGCCCAAGAGCAGGCGAGCACGTAGGGGTGGGCGATATGGAAAAAATATCATATCACGATTTTTTTAGGAAAATCACGATCACGATTTTTTTATCAGGATTCTTTTTCAAGTTGGTTTTACTATTTTGCAAGTGGCCGTTCATTACAGCCAAACTAATGTCCCTATGTTAAAAACAAAGCCTTAGGTAACAAAAGAAAAAAGAAAGGCATACATTTAGGCCAGTGGCGAAGATAAAAATCTTTGTCATTATTTTCTTTGTTATTAAAAAAATAAGACAAGATAAACATTACACAAATTAATATTTATATTAAATAAATAGTGCTTTATTTTTTCAGATGCAGTAGGTGTATTTAGCAGTAGCATTGAAGTAATTAAATGAACAAATATGAAATTAAAACACTACATAGACTTCACTGAATAAATTATTGATTCTTATTAAAGCTACTATTAAAGTTCTCAGTCAGTGAGTGATTTTCTCCTTGTGTTTGTTTGTTTTATTAACACTAAAGGGATAGTTCCCTCAAAAATTAAAATTGTCTTAATTTACTCTCTCAAGATGTTTTAAACCCGAATAAGTTTCTTTCTTCTGTTGAAAAAAAAAAGTTATTTTGAATAATGTGGGTAACCGAACAGTTGCTGGTCTCCTTATAGTTTTTTTATAGGTTCTCTCCCGGAAGTTGATGGGGACCAGCAACTGTTTGGTTACCCACATAAAAAAAAAAAATGTCTTTTGTGTTCAGCACAAGAAAGAAATTAATACAGGTTTGGAACAACATTAGAGTGAGTAAATAATGACGGATTTTTTTTTTTTTTTTTTTTTTTTTTTTGTGAACTATCCCTTTAAGGACAAGCGGCAGTATTCCTGTCGCTTTTAGACCAGCACGCGACGCGTTTAATATAGACGCATATTACACCAGATATTCTCTCAAATGTTTGCTTTCACTTTAGACGTAGCCTGTTTATGTACACATTGTGTGTATTTAACAGTATTAGCATAATGAGACTCGAGAGATAACTTAGTCCAGTATTCAGGCGCTGTTTGACAGGCTTCTAGTGCCTGTGAGCGTCGGGGGTTATGCGGTCAGGAAAGCGAACGTTAGAACAGCGCATCAGCGCGTGAATTAAATGTTTAACCGGCAAGGCTTATGCAAATAATGAGCTTTTGTGAATTGCAGTGTCCCGTATTCATTAACGTGTGATGTGTAGGCTACGTCGCGTTGTACAGTTGAGAGACGGAGGCGCCAGAACTGAACTGATAGAATGCACTGTTACACGATACTACGACATTTCTTCAAAAGCAGATCGTGGAGACATTTTAATCGTCCACGATTAAAAATCGTCATATCGCACACCCCTACGAGCGCGTCCTGTCCTCTCTCTATCAGTGTGCTGATATATGATTGTTCTCAGAGCTCCTGTGCGGCAGCTTTTGAATGAGGTGTATTGTCCCTGAAATCAGAACTGCAGAACGGCTTTAGCGTTTCTGCCATCGAGAGCTGTCAGCAAAGAGCCCGTCAACATACACACACTGTTTATTTGCCTCAAGTGCATTAACACAGCATTTGGATTGTTTCCATGTTGGTAAATATAGCAGGCCATTAGGGATTGAGTGTTTTGTTTTTTTTTCCGCATCCCGTCACACAGATGTGTACTTCATCGAACAGATCCTGCAGGTACTGCCGATAAGTGTCAGCCGGTTGCATCATTTGTGTGGGGCTCAGGATTAAACTCTCTCTCCTCCACTTACAGCAGTGAAGGTGCTGAGCTGTCCCTGAATACATTACAAGTGCCAATAGACCTGTGATTATCATGCACAAAGTTTCATTCTTTGCATCCGGGGTTCAAACAGATCAATGTCCTGAAGCGTCACCGAGTCGCAGTGTTTCACTCTGAACACACCGGAAACATCACACACAGAATATTTCTTTCTTTATTTATTGTTCATATATGTGTTATTGTTCATTTTTAATAGTTCATTATTTACTTCACTTTATTTAATTAGACAGTTCATTATTGAATTATTATAGTTTGTTTATGCATTTTTATTTCTTTATTATAGTTTGTTATCTAGTTTAATTTATTTAATTGATTATTGTTTAGTTATTTATGCATTATACATTTATTTTTTAAATTGATTTATTTATGAATTATTTGCTCATTGTAGTTTTATCTTAATTCATTTGTATTTGTGTATTTGTTCTATTTCATTATTTGTATGAGTTATTTTATTTTACGTTACTATTTATTTTTTATTTACTAAAGTTTAGTTGTGTTTATTATTATATTTTTTTAACTCATTATTTGTTTGTTTGCTTGTTAATTTTTTTTTATTACAATTCATCTACTAAATGAAGTGAAATCAGTTGTCATGAATCTGTCGTTTGAGTTATTTTCTGATATATCCGCACAGTTTATTTGCTCCTCGTGTGTTTTCAGGCTCTGACGTGGCCGGTTTTGATGGCAGTGGACACTTGCGCTACAGGCCGGATCCCGGTGCCAATCCCGCAGACAAAGACGTGTTATCCATGAACTTTAAAACCCTGCAGAACTCTGGGATGCTGGTTCATATGGAAGGACACAGCGGACACACACTCACTTTGGAGTTATTCAAAGGGAAACTCTTACTACTGCTTAGAAAAGGTACTAATATGCATGGAAAATATTCATGTTTTTTTTTTTTTTTTGTTACAAAATGTTTTTTTAAAGGGACCTGCTATGAATTTTTCCCATATTCTCCAGTTCCTCTCTTCCCAGTCTATCATTAACGCTCTGGGGTGCGTTTCCCAAAACAAATTTCCCATTGCCAACCATCTAAGTTGCTAACAGGTTAGCAATTATGGTTTTGGGAAACGCACCTCTGTTTAGTTCCCGTCTCTATGAAGCTCCTCCTTCTGAAAAGCACACTGTGCTCTGATTGGTCGGCTGGATCAGTGTGTTTTGATTGGTCAAGCACTTTGAGTGTGTTTGTGAAATGTCCCGCCCCTTACCATAACCACCAGTTTACTAACTCACTCAACCAGGCCCCGCCCCTTTATTCTGCGTATCATTTATTTAAATGAGATAGAGAAGATATAGATACAGAGATATAGAGAAGAACCCCCGCTGGAGGGACTTTGTGCTTATATAAAGGCTACTGTATATATATATATATAAAACCTGGACATGTTATTCCAAGACACTTTAAAAAACAACATATGACAATACCATGGTACTATTCAGCAATTTAAGTTTATTGTTAGTTAAATTCTCCAGCAGATTAACAGATGGCCTCTCTTACTAATGAATCAGGTTTGGGGTAAATTGAGAAGGCTTGTTCATAAGGTGTAAGACTGTAAGAGAAGCCCTCAGGTGTCGGACTGAGACTCAGTGTGTCGTGGGCAGCCAGCATGGCACAGATTCCCATGAGCCATCTGTGATCGCAGCGTTCGAGTGTCACTGCCAGCGCCACGGTCTCTATCTCCTCACACACACTGCTCAACTTACAATGGCACAACATGCTTTCTGAACACATCTAATCGGTTCAAGGAATAATCTTACATCCAGACCGGTTTTCTGCGAGCTCACATCATTGCAGTTGAGTGGCAACTTATTTTTAGACATGCGACGAGATGTCATCTAGAGCCCGACACAGACCTGCGGGTAAACATGGCTGTCATTCAAGACCGGGGCTCTCATTTAATCACTTTACAATAACCTTAGTTAACTTGAACTAACAATGAACAATACTTCTACAGCATTTATTAATCTTGGTTGATGTTAATCTCAATACATATTTTAAGATCAACAGTTAATGTACTGTGAACATAAACAAAACTAAAATGAACAAAGCTAATAAATGCTTTAAGAATATATTGGTCATTGTTCATTTGTTAATGCATTAATGTTAAAAAAGAGACCTTTGTTGTAATTTACACAGGATATGTGTGTTATTTCACTGTCTAGAATTGACTTTTCATAGCTTGTCAGTCTTACTTCCTCACTTGATGTTTCTCCTAATATGCCTTTTGATACATACTGTAGAAATGGTAACACTTTACAATAAAGTTCCAATTTGTGTAGTCAGGGAGGGATTGAACATGTAAAAAATACAATCTCTGTTAAAACAATAGCATTTGTATTTGAAATAAAGAAATAAACAAAAAAAGGGTTCCATTTTGTAACATTATTTAACTACATTTATTAAACTAAGAATAAAAAATAATCTAAAGCTTTTATTAATCTAAGTTCATATTAATTTCAACATTAGTAATACGTTATTAAAAATCACCCGTTGTATGTTCATATTATTTGAAGGTACAATATGTAAGAATTTTTGTTGTTTTAAAATAGCCCAAAACCACTTGGACAGTCTTATATGTTTCTTTCAATTGTGTACTTCCATTATCCTAAATTTTTCCAAGAATTTGTAAATTCAGAGCAATTCACAATTTTAAAAAGGTCACTTGTGGCTTGTCAATGATGTAATATCCGCGTTATCCCTGGGTTACTCTCGTACTGCCATAGTAACCATGGCAACAGTCGTGGACAACTGTGTTACACCGTGTCCTAACTACACGGTGTCTGTCCACACTAGACGCGACGCGACTGTGAGACGCCACACGTCAATCAAAAATCACACCCGTTCAGAACAGCGTGAAAGCGCACTACTGGCCCGCACTCGCATTGGAAATGGGTAAGGACATAATCAAATCAAGAAATAACATTATTAAAAATCAAAACATTAACAAAATTTACTCATTGACAAATTTTGTTATGAAGTACAGTTTTATGTTTGCATAGAACGCTATATTATATGTTTTCAAAATCTGAGGTAAATCCGTTATCACTTGTGGCACAGTGACCTATTTTTAACTAAAAATAAATAATGTGTAGCCTACTCATGACCAGTGTAATTTCTTCATTCTGTCAGCCGCGACGTCGCAGAAATAGGAACCGTTTCTAAACTTCGCGTTTCGCCGTCGCGTCTGGTTAGGACAAAAACTCCGATTAACAAATCGCGGGTCGCCACGTCGCGTGTAGTTAGGACACGTTGTGACAAACATGATGTTGACAGTCACATGATGTTCTCAGTCACATGATGTTCTAAGTCACATGATTCACTGAGTCACATGATGTGTGGAGCACATGGCTTAAAAGAGTTGGAAGATGGCAGTTTGAGAAGACCTTGTGCAGTGGAAAGATGTGGGAAGTTAATCCCTACAAAAACCCTGTGAGGTAAAAGGAACATTTTGTTGATTTGCCTTGGGATTTATGGTTCTTTTGGATGTTCTTGGATGTTCAAAGAAACTACCAATGGTTCAAACAACAATGGAGGACTGATCATTTCGCTAACTGACTGACTGGACAAACCAACCAAGTATTGTTTTTTTCTTTTCTCTTTTCTCATATTCTTATGTTGGATTTGCCAGTTGAGACTTTTTGGCATGAGACTTTGTGACTGGTTTAAAGTGCTGAGAACTCTTTTTCAACTGCACAGTGGACTGGTTGCTCAGTGTTGGCCTGAATGGACTCTGAAAGGTCTAAGTGCATGTACAAAAAAAAAAAACTATGCTGAATTGAGAACTGTTAATGTGAACTGTGAAACCCTTAATGAGTTGAAAGGAAAATAATCTGACAGTCCCTCCAGGATTTCACGATTTTTTTGTGTGATTTTTGCGATCAAAATGACTGATTTTGTGGTGGTAATTTCCAAAAATTTGTGAAAAAATTTGCGATTTATATATAACATTTACCATAATAGTATTCAGTCCTTCCAGAAAAACGCGGAGTTTTTTTGTGATTGTTGCGGGCAAAAATTGATTTATTACATGGCCTGTTTTCTTTAAAAATGTGATGGAATATATATTTATATTTATGCAATTTTATGCGATGAAATTGCGGGAATTTGCAAAAATTGAGGGAACTTGCAAAAATTGCGGTTTGATGAAAAAGAGAAAGAAAGTGATTCCCCCAACATCCTGTTCTCACTAGGCTAATGTAAGAGTCATTTCTTATTACTTCCTTTGATAAGCAAGCATACTACATCATAGAAAGTGCTGGGAATATTTAATTTCTCATCTTGTTTTATTTCAGACTGTAATGAGTGTAAATAAGGTGTGGCCCCTTTAAGAGCTCTCTGCAGTGTTATATGTGCGCCTCGAACACCCCATGTGTGCTACTTCTTTTATCTTATGTTGTTTATTAAGTAACGACGTGACGGTAGAACGTGTGACAGACAGTTATACGAGTTCGATTTGTGAGATGTCAATCGCCTCCGTGAGTCTGTCTGGCGTCGCGTAATTGCGTCACTTCATAACGTTCCCATGGAAACAGGGGGAAATGGCTGCTCTTGTGTGAAGCAAACGCAACATTTTCAACTTTCTGCTAAGATACATGTGACTTTTTTGCAACGAAAATGCGAGGATTATGAAATTATGCAAACCCCGCATATTTTGCACGGAAATCTGCAAATTTATGCGGCGAAAGTGCGGTGTATTTGAAAAAATGCGGCCCCCGCATAAATATGCGGACTTTGGCTGATTCTGCATTGAATTCAGCGATCGCGTAATCGCGTTTTTCTGGAGGGACTGATCTGACTTTGAATGAGCTGATCTGATTTTGTTTAAATACTTGTTATGGTTAATACTTGAATTTGGAATTGAGTATTTGAGTTGTTGGGATATTTTTCTTATAAATTGAAGAACTTTTGGTTTCTGATTTTTTTTTTTTTTTTTCATTTGTAAAACATTATTGTTTTTTCCTCACTGAATGTTATGAAATTATTATTCTATTGTGCAACAAAAACTAATAACAGTTTATATGAATTGAGCCTATTGCTGTTTGTTGTTAATTCTTCATCCACAAATTAAGGGTTCTACTTTATTTGTTTTTTAAATGTCTGAATCCTTTGTAAGGTTGACTGACTAAACAAAATATAGTAGGTTTGAAAAACCTGCTTGGCACCCCAGTCAATTAGGTCAATCCGTTACAACGTGTTACGTCTAGCGGCGCGCTCACGATGTTGTTGTTTCGTTCAAACATTATGGACCACGATCAGCAGACGAGGAGCAATATCAGGTCTTGTGAGTAATAATTCTGCAGTTGGGGAGTTCGGTAGAATGAAATGTCCTTATTCCTTTATAATCGTGGAATCAGATATTTGTCTCTCATTCGCAGTAGCGCCCTGCTTCACACCACAGTCATGTTAAAAACATCAATGTATTCACCACGCGTGCCACACAAGCCCACAAAAGTGAAGCCAAAACGTCTTGATCGCCCCCCTGTGACCGGTCCTAGTAAAGGTCATAACCCCCACCTCCCCATGTTATTCAATGGGACGTGAGACCACTAAACATTTAAAATACACTTCACATATCCTTTTTCCAATGATAGTTTCTGTCATTTACTGTAGTTTATATATTACGCCGATGTAATTTCAAATGTTTGTTTTTAAAATAAGTTTGTATTTAGTTCGTTATTTGATGCTTTAAAGGGATAGTTCACTTTTTGACATGTTTTATCTTACCTCAAGGGCATCCAAGATGTACAGTAGGTGCCTTTGTTTCCACAGTATTTTCAGTCAAACCGTTGTCGTCTATCAGTCATACACTGGAGGCAAAGGGGGTCCACCAAAAAGCATGCACAGAGAAGTCCAAATTAAA